AAAAAAAAAAATGACATAGATAAAGCCCTTCGTAAAGTGTGGGCTGTACTCGTGAGAACAATTTTCTGCATCTCTTTGAGGCATGGACTTCCAGGAATCCCTTCAATTAGTCTACTGGAATATTTTCCGACCATTCCGAGGGCTCCAACTATAACAGGGATTTTTAATGTTCCCATGTGTCTCATTTTTGAGATTTCTATTTCAAGGTCCTTGTATTTTGACAGCTTTTTGAATATCTTCTAAGATACATCGCAGTCTGCAGGGACTGCCATATCAATAAGGAGGCACTTTATTATTATTATTATTATTTTGGTATCAAACATTGACCTACTGGAAATTCAGCACGTGAATCAAGGTGTCAAGAAGACATCACACAATTCAAGAACGTTTCAGAGAATCCTCGCACAGTAAATTATGGCAGGTTTCTGGAGGCCTACGATCTTTGGCTCTGTTCTAATTCTCCCTAAGTATTTTCTTCCTTCCAGTTTTCTAAGTGAAACCACTTTCTTTTCCTCACTCTAGCAGTTGTTGGATGGCGTCTGAGCCCATCCTACTGTCCAATGGAACACCTGCCGAGCAATAAACCTTTCCTATCGGACCGAACATCATTTAGAGCGTTATTTTCCAATATTTTGATTAGACACTTTATCCATAATATGAAGACTCGTGAATTTAAGTTTGCACTACTACCTTGGCTGCCTGTCAAGACTGAAGAGATCCTCCTGCTGGTGAGATACGGTTATACCAGGCCGGATGTTAACTCGGTATTTCTAAACCATGGGTAGTTTATTATTATTATTATTATTATTATTATTTTATTTTATTTAATCTGTATACACATTTCCCTTCGGGTCCCAACCAGTGACCTAAGGTCAGAAATGGCATCATGACATTTTCCACTGATCATTTTTGCAAAAAAACAAAAAACAATCAGACATAATTTACATAGATAAAGCTCTTCATAATATGTGAACTGTACTTATGAGTATATTTTTTTGTATTTTTATCAAGGTATGTGCTACTAGGAATCCCTTCAATGAGTCTATCAATCCGAGGGCTCCAACTACAACTGGAATTACTGATGTCTTCATGTGCCAGATTTTTAAGATTTCCCTTTCAAGATCCTTGTATTTTGATAATTTTTATGAAGATTTTCAAAGATACATTACAACCTGCAGGGACTGTCATGTCAATAAGAAAACACATTCTGTTCTTGTGGTCTTTGATCACGATGTTTGGGAGATTAGCTTTGATTGTTATGTCTGTGTGCCTGTAACAATTTTATGGCACTTTACAATAAGTCTCATAAAATTGTTTCAGGTCCTATATCTGTAGCCGGATCTTGGTGATGTTCATACTAATTTCTTGCAGTTCTTTTCCCCTTAAAAGTGGCATATTTTCCAGTGCAGATATTGGCCCACTCTATTATGTCGATTTTTATATTCAGTAAGTGTTTATACTGTGTAACCGGATATAAGATAGTCACTTGTTTCAGGTTGTTTATCGCAGAATCTCCATTTGGGTTCAACACAATTTTTCTTTGCGTGTGGTTGCTATTATTATTATTATTATTGCTATTGTTGTTTTATTGTTGTTATATCTGTTTTGGCAAAAGGTGACTTTCCCGGAACTTCAAATCATGATGTTTACACTTAGTGTTCCTCGTGGTCACCGCAAGGCGACCAATTGTCCGCAAGTGAAAAATTGCCTTAATGTAAATATGCCAATCGAAATAGGGTTCCGATAAATTTGTTGGCAGAATTTTCTAATATTAATAATAATAATAATAATAATAATAATAATAATAATAATAATAATAGGTATGGCGTGGAAGATGATGAAAGATCAGTCTGTGAATGCTACAGGAATAGAAAGAGGAAATTGTTTGCAGATCAAAAAGGGGATTCCATCAATCAATTAGGCGAATCGAAAAGGTCACTGAAGCGTAAGGGGTAAGAAATTCGAAATTGATACTTCGGATTTAATAGAGACATTAATCATAACATCTCTTTCTCCCCCTGAAGCTCATCTATTCGCCAAACTGTCAATTAAATAAAAGAAACAAAAAGAATTATTTTATGATGATGTTTTGATAACATCATTTTATTATTTTAGTGCTATAGCTGATCTATGAATTGATCTTCTGATCATAGCTGATCTATGAATTGATCTTCTGATAATCAAATTTTTTTTTTGAATCCATAAAGATGTTACCTACTATATGGTGAAAAAGAATCAAATCAGCTTTTTTAAAAAATGTCCACAATCCATCCTGCATAACTATAAGCCTGAAATTCGTTCATGCATAGAATATTGCTGTCACATATGGCCCGGTGCTTCTGCCATTTACTTTGAACTTCTTGATAAAATCCAAAAGAGAATCGGTATTATGATAATAATTATACTATTATATAAATCCAAAGGATAATCGGTACTCCTGCTATTTTATATATAACTATTATATAAATCCAATTTTAAATTCAATCTATTTTATAATATATAAATCCAATCTATTTTATATATTAACTATTATATAAATCCATAGGAGAATCTGGTCCGGTGCTCCTGCTATTTACTTCTTGATAAAATCCAAAGTAGAAGCGGTATTATTATCTGGCAGCTCAGTTTCAGTCATTTTCCTACTGCCATAAGGTTGCCTGTGTCTTTTCCATAAATGCTTTCATGGCAATTGTTCGGATGAACACTTTGCTATCGTACCTAAACTTTATGAATTTAAGTGCAGTACTCGACTGGCATCTAGATCTCATGAATTTACAGTTGAGATGGCGAGACGTAACCGTAAGTTCTATGCTAACAGTTTCTTTTCTCGCACTTCTCGCTTGTGGAACTCTCTTCCAGCTCCATGTTTTACAGCCAACTTTAATCTGCAAACATTTAAGTGCAATGTCAATCGTTATCTACTGTCCTCCTGATTACTCTTTCCTCTTCCAGCTCATTATTAATATTTCTCTTCCTAATTCTTCCATTCTCTGTAACCCCTTGCGTTTTAGTGGCCTTACTCCCTTGCGTGCGGTAAAACAGATTTAAAAATAAGTGTTGCACCGGCCTCTAACACAAGGGAATTACACCGGTTCTCACTATATATAGTGCCAGTAATACCTACCCGGGGTAAGCAGCGACAGTACTACAACTGCCTAGCTGAGTAGTACCCGTTTCCTACCTTTGTATCTGTGATGTTAAATACACTTGTTCTTTAAACCAACTTCGACTTGATTTTCTTATTTTTACTATTGTGCCACGACACATCAATAAGTGACAAAAAAATGATACTATCATTTTTAAACAGATTTTCCATTCTTAATAGATTTGAAACAATTTTCAACGTTTCGGTTGAGAGGTGTTTTGACCTTCCTCAGCTCTATCGTTCATACTACTTCTCCCTGCTGTGTCCTTTCAGGACATGGGAGATCATAGCTCTCCACAACTTCCAATCTCTTCTAACCGTTAGCAATGTTTGTCCCTTTGTCATACATCCCACCCGTTATCCATTCAGACTATCTCATCAATTACGACCTCATTAACGTAGCGGTACACCCTGAGCCCGAGGGTGGGTAGCGCCTTTTAGGGTCACAGCTATGGGAAAACAGTGAAACCCTAAACGAAAATAAAACACTATGAATGTATTAAAAAAACATTTTTATAGTAAAAATAACAGCAATAATTTTTTATATTAAAAATAATTGCGAACAGTACATATTTATAATAAAATGACCGACAATATATTTTATCTGGAGTTGAAGGCATACAACTGCGTTAAAAATATATTTAGATGAAGCCATAAAATTGTGTGCCAAATATTTACGTCAGCATTAAATAACCCATAAAGGTGTTGTTATGCCGCTGAACAAAATCAAACAAGAATCATCAGGTATGTGACACATTGCTTTCTCTTGTTCCTTTTGCGTTTGATCTCTAAAAAATTTCAGAAATTTCTTCGATATCAAAGAAATTGATATCAAAGAAATTTCAGCTGTTTCTGTCTAATTTTGACTATAAATGCCATTTCGTTTCCATTTTCCTTGTGTCTTTTTTCGTTATTTATAGAATCCGTCCATGGAATTCTCATCATCCTTCTGTAGAACCAAATTTCTGTTGCCTCTAGTCTTGCCGTCATCTTTGAGGTGACTGTCCAGCGTTCACTGCCATACAAGAGGCTTTATATTACAATGCGGTTCAAAACTCTTTTTTGTTTCTAACGAGATTTTCCTGTTTCTTAGTACGCTGCTTAGCTTTTATGATGCATCTTTTATTATTACAATGCGCGTTTGGATTTCGGTGTCACACTTTCTGTCCTCTGCAAAAACACTTACAAGATATTTAAGCTTTTGTCCTTGCTTGATGCTGGCATCTTCTATTCGGATTTCGCTTTGGGGCTTTTTCTTTTGCTCACAACCATACATTTTATCTTTAAAGTCATAATCGTCATAATCTTCACAAGTGTCCAAGTAAACGTAGAGTGTTGTCTTGTAAGAGATGATTTAGCAATAGAAAAATCAGTTGAATGAATTTTATGCCTGGGCCTAACTGTATAACTGAGAATTCTGTGGACCTCAGTGTACAGGTGAGAAAATTACTAAAGCTTTTCAGAGGGTTGCCCTCAGTATCCAGTGAGCTTGACAGATTTCGAACAAAAACATACAAGACAAAATGCGAACTTTAGAGTCAAACCATCAAAAGATGAAAGTTTACTTCTATTAGGATATGTGATAAGATTATTAAATGAAACACCATCGAGGAAAACCTTACAACACTTCAGACCATGCAATAAGAAAAGGAGTTGTCGTCCAGAAATTTAATAGCTAAGGATAATTTAAGCCGAGCTTTCAAATTGAAAGATTCTATTTGATATTACAAAATCCATCATCTTTCCTTCAACTCGAGAACTTAACGTCAGGCAGATTTATTTGGATTCAACGTTAGATATTGCGTATGCAATAAAGAATTTTATGTAAGAGTTAAAAAAAAAACGAGATTTCGGCCCATATTACATTGAAATAACGGTCCTCGACCGATCACCGAAGTTAAGCAGCGTCGAGCCTGATCTGTATCTAGAGGGGTGACCGCTTCGGAATAACAGGTGTTGTAAGCTTGAATGCGCAATGTGAGGGTGGTGTAATGGATAACGGCTCGGAATGGGAAATTTGGAGAACGGATTTCTGATTTCAGTTGGGTTCGTTATATTCGCTTACGCGCGAATATTCTTGAGTGATCAGGAATCGAAAAGAGACTGGTCCCACCAGTCCTGATGTTGACAGCTCGGACACGCCTTGCTACTAACAGCAAATCGATTCATTTTCATTGCCTCCATATTTGCACTCAGACAAGTTCCTCCCCAGAACTGTGACATTGTGGAACATGATTTCTAAGTGGATGCTTCCATGATCAATACAATCATAACGTCTTCAATGTGGAGCCCTTGTTCACTCACTGTACCCCCTTTGAAATACCCTCATTTAATAAGCCTTAAAAATAAAAATAAATTTTTGATGGATTTGGTTAATTTGATTTGGTTTCTTTTCTTTTTCAGCATATCGATCTCAATGAGTTAATCAATTCCAAAAAGAATTTTGAGAATAGATTCGTATGAATAAGATAATTATTCTTTGTAAGAAATCAGTTTGTAGATCAGGCTTCATCGACGTAAAGAGGGTTTTATCGAGATTTAACTCTATTGCTGGTATTTTTTAATCAAAAATGTGCTGCTGGTATTTTTAATTTTAAAATCTATTTTTATACTTTCATAGTGTTTTGACCCTTGTTTGATGGTATACTAGCAGGTGCTACCACCCGAGTTCAGAGTGGACATTGAAACAACGGTACTGATGATGTGGTTCCACGACCTACAAAATCTCCAAAATAGAGGCCTTACTTGACGGATGTGGTTTATCGTCATGCCCAGGACTTTTTGCTTGAGTGGCTCTCAGGATTTTTTCTTTGGTGAAAAATAATAAGAAAAATGTTAAAGACACATGGGAGTGTCGATGACAACTGACTTTTTCATGAACCTGGCCTCTTGTCTGAAGTATTCAGAGAAGCAGTTCCTTGATATTAACTAGAAAAAAATCCTCAACTCCGGTTACTATTTTCTATTGGACATCCCGGAAAAATAATGTGAAAATGACTAAGAAAAAGAAAAGAAAGTACAAAGCGAATTTTGAATATAAAACTGAAGAAGGTATATGAATTTATCGGCTGAAACCTTACGCCCAAAACAGCAACAAATACGAATATTATTTACATTATCTTTTTTACCATATCTATCACAACGTTTCGGCCGTTGTACGCTCCGACCTTCTTCAGGTGGTTGGAATGTCGAACCGAACCCTTTAGTCCGAATAATGTAAATAATGTACATAATACCTCATCTCAGAAATATAGACAGACTCCGAATAAGAAGATATTATTTACATTGTTCAGAATGTCGTCCTCATCTTTATTGTCATATCATATTTAGCGGCCGACAGTCCGAACAATGAAAATACTGTAGACAAGTGATTCCCGAACGATGCTTCGCGCCTCATCAGTGCAGCGGAAAAGGATAGCAGGTGAGGCGGAATGATTGAGAGACAATCAAAGATTTAGAAACCTTTTCAAATAATTCATGTGCCAAAAATAAATATGATTGCAAAATTTAAAATATTATTATGAATTACTTGTAATTGCATGCATGAGTCACAATATACATTGTGATAAATAATTATTGACCGATATTTTTATTTATGCATTATATCAAGTATTAAGAATAGAGGAACTGGGCTCCGCAAGTTGAAGGAGAGAGTTATCAATGATAATATTCTGACTTCGAATACGCGGTTATCTCCATTTAGACCTCTTTCTGTTTTTATTTAATTTTTAAATGTACTTTTATGACATAAAATTTGGTGACGCGTTAGTAAGTCTTCACTGCGAAAGTGCGGCCAAGGTAAAAAAAAAATAACATTTGGGAAGGACTGGTGTAAATAGTTACAATGCCTCATCTCAGAAATAGAGACAGATGATGAAGACATTATTCTGAAATAGTAAGCGGGCAAAGATTCGGAAAAAGGGTCCGACATAATATATGGAATAATGCGAACAATTTGTCTCGGAACTTCAGATAATACAGGAACGTGTCGACCGAAACGTTGTCTTAATAGTAACAAAAATAGTGAGAAAAACATTTCAAAATAGTATATCGAATAATGAAATTGCTTAGTAATAGAACTTGAAAAAACTACTCGAGGGAACATACGTAAAACCTTTTTACGTATGTTCCCTCGTGTAGAAAATTTGAAAAAAAATGATGATTTACATTCTCCATGGAGTCCTACTTTTAACGAATAAAAAAATTCAGGAAATAAAAAGGTATTTTGCGAAATTTCATGAGATTAAGTAAGTGGGGATGGGTAACATATGTAAAAAAATATATTTTTTACCAAAATTTTTTAAAAATTTCAAAAGCATTTCATTCATTTGTTAATAAGTCCTGAAAATTTGGTTAAAATCCGACAATTATCTGACTTTTACAAGAATTTCCAAATCAATGTGTTTTCAACGGAAAAAAGCGCAAAAAATTCAATGTAATTATTACGACACCCTGATGACGTAAAGAAAACAATAATTTAACCAAAATTTCGAACGTTTTAGAAAAGATTAAAAATTAAAAAAAAATAATCAAAAAATACTTTGGTTTTTCATCAAAATAATAACATAAGCATTTTAACGATAAATCTTTATTTTCATTAATTTTGTGGCCTTTTTCATTACGCTATGCTGTTTTCCCGCGAAAAAAGTAGAGTTACCCAGTAAAAACAACCACCAAGCGGCCATAACTTTTATATTCCTTCCGTGCTTTTCAACATAAAAAGGGTCAAGGCAAACACAGCTCTGAACTGCTTCACCCTATACTCCATCATAAGCTATTTAACAATGAAGAACATTATTACCCCATTATAACTACTCTACTCATCTGAACGCTATTAAGCAATACTTATTGACTGACAGTAGAGGCCGACATGTCTACGATGGCGAAAATAAAAATCAAACAAAAGCCAAACGTGTAAAAAAAAAAAAAGAGAGAAGAAAACTGGCGATAGCTCAAAAGGACAGGGCAAATCAATCTTCATTATTTTTTCATTGCGATATTACGTGTTCAAAATGTTATCAATCACACTCTGAAGCAGTCAGGGTTCGGTTACCCGACATTGACGTGTTCATCATTCAACAGGACGTCGAAACTCTTAACGCTCAGCACACACCAACCTCCGCGGCCGCTTACCGTGCCCTTTTGGGACCGTTCCCTTGCAAGCATCGTTTGGTAACTGTAGACATTCAAACCGAAGAGAATGAAGGTATCATTGACCCAGCAATTAGAGGCTCCCTAAGCTTAGTCTAGCCTGCTACAAGGTCAGCTACTCCCGGTGAGGTTCAAAGTGACGACATCCAGGAATGATTTAACTGAATGATCTAACAGAACTGTCTCTCTACGGCAGGCGTCCTACATATATTCAGTCAATGTTGTATCGGATGCAATCACAGATATGCGACAGTAGAAAAAAACTTATAATTCTGCTTGTTCCTTTGTTAAATTATGCACTTTCAATACAATAATGCACTATTCCGTTTTTATTGCGAGGAAAGACGGAAAAGACATATCAGAGACGTTCATTTTCATTAAAAGAAAGAAAGGAAGAAGAAAAAAAGAAAAGACAGAAAGAAAAATAGAGGATATGATAGTTCTCTCACGCGTTCAACGTCTGTTTTAATGAAATAGAAAACATGACAATTTCAGTATCTCTCTATATTTCTGAGATGAGGTATTATGTACACTATTTACATTATTCGAACTATTGTCCTCACCTTTGTCGCCATCTTTGTTGCCATGTGTTTGAGGACACATGGCACAGTAGATAAAAGCGTTGGTTAGATCCAGTGATAGGAGCCAAAGAGTGGGAGTTCAATACCCGGTTAAGGCAGTGGAGAACTTAGAGAGGGGAATTAACAGGAGATAACTGATAACTGACATCCATTAAACATGGCATGTAGAACTAGAACAGTCTACCCCAGTGAGCGAAATAAAGGGTTCAGTTCGACATTCCAACCACCTGAAGAAGGCCGGAGCGTACAACGGCCGAACGTTGTAATAAATATGGCGACAAAGATGAGGACAATAGTACGAATAATGTAAATAGTGTACATAATACCTAATCTCAGAAATATAGACAGATACTGAAGGACCGAAACGTTGTGATAAATATGGCAACAAAGATGAGGACAACAGTCCGAATAATATAAATAGTGTTAACAATTTTAAATCTTTTTATTTGTATTCTCTTAATTCTTTAATGAAACGCATACAAATTTGTGTTTGATATTGTAATATTTTATTTTTAGTTAAGCTTAAATATTTAAAGATTCAATTGGGCGGGGAAGAATTTTCATGAGTCTTCTACCTTCGCAGAACCCACAAGGGGCTCATTTAAAAAATGAAAAGAAATAAAAGTAACATTTCAGCAGAATCTATACTGGCATTAATGTCCTGCCTTGAGGAAGGAAATAGTTTCAGTAGATATACAAAAATAGAAAGGGGTATAAGACAAGGATGTATCATCTCACCGGATGTATACAACCTATACAGTGAGGCGATTCTGTGCAAATTAGAAGTCCTACCAGGATTTATTATTGGCGGACACAATCTTAACAATATAAGATATGCAGATGACACAGTTCTGATAGCAGGCACGAAAAAGTAACTACAACCGCCCCCTACAGAAGATAGCGAAGGAAAACTAGAAGAAAGAAGTAAGAATAAACTACAAGTTGCATAGTCGTTAGCAAAAGGATGAGTCCTGAATGCAAATTACAAATCGGGGGTACTAAAATCAAACAAGCCCACAAATATAAATACATGGGAAGTGTTGTAACAGAGGACTAAATGCGCGACATTGAGATCCGAAGACATATTAGGATGGCCAATGATGCATGCCAAAGCTCAGCAGAATATTAAAAGACATACGAAGTATATTCAACTGTTACGTGATATCAGTCCTCCTATATGACAGTGAATGCTGGACGATCTCCTCAAACGTGAAGAAGAGTCTTGAAGCAA